ACAAACTCTTCATTGCACTGAATTTACTCTTCATTTCAATCAACGAAACACTCATTAATTTTGTACACATTTTATTAAATGTAGAAAATATAAAATAACTTTTAAAATATAGATTTAAAATTAATTAAATTATACTTTTGAAGAATTGAGACAATGGTTTGAAAGCATGTGTTTGTGAACTGAAACCTCATTTAGAAAGTAATGCCAACCAATACTAAAACCATTATTTTCCCTTACTTTTCACCTAATTTTAACAAAATTTAGACCATGATGACCAAATCCCTAGTGTGTTTCCAGAATTAATTTTAGTCAATATTTGTTGTGTTTGAATGATATTTAAAGCATTAATCGTTTGGAAATAGGGATTATTTATCACATGCTTTGAGCGCACAATGCATTTGAAAGTCCGGTTTCTCAGACTTCCAGCCTTTTCTGTGTGTTGTATGGACTCAACACTTGTATTGCACTTAAAATGTGAGTTTTATTTGTCTTTATTTAAAGCTTTACACAATTAGTTCACCAAAAATGCTAAATATACTGTACTATATATCAAACGAACCAATCACTAGATAGTACAGAAAGTGTGCGCCCATTAGTGACCATCAGTTTTGTAGTGATTGTAAGATGAGATCACATACACAGACAATCAGTGATATAAAGTAAGTAACTATATCTAACAATTACTAAAATAAAAGTGTTGATTTTAATTGTCATTAACTATTGATTTATTGTACCATCACCAGATTAAAATGATTACACATTGTGTAACTTATTATTATTATACTGATGACTTTACAGACCATACAACGAATATAGAAATACCATCAGGTATTGAAACAATCAAAGATCTCAAGTGTTTTTTAACAAACAATGTTGGTTACAATGAAAACAAAGAAACGATAACTATATCTAATTCATCGGGAGATTATGAATCATACCCTGATGATTATAAATTGATTACTCTATATAAGCTTTATGAAATAAATGTATATCAAATTTCCGAGTATTCTAATCGTGGAATTAATGTCAAATCATCGAGGTAAATCTTGTTGTTTTAAAATTTATTAATTATATGTTATTTGTAAAATATTTGTCCAAAACTATAGTCTGAGCGAAGAGTCGGACCGAAAGTGTCGTGAATTGTGTGAAGAGATGTCGGCTCTGAAGGCAAGCAATGAGTCCGAAGTGAAGGCATTGAAAGCACTGCTCAAGTCATCAGAGGATTCAATGCAGAGAATGACTGAAGAGATGGAAAGTTTGAGAAAACAATTGATAACATCTGAGAAGAGGTTTTGTTATATTCGCGATACAAATGAGTTTTTATTGAAATTAATATTTATTTGTTATACAAAATACTCATATCTTTCGCAGTAATCAAGAAATGGTCGCAGAATTAAGTGAATTGTCGGATCAAACAAGTTGTTTAACTCAAGAGATATCAACTTTAAATGCGAAGAATGAGACAGAAGTACAGGCTTTGAAAGTACAGCTCAAGTCATCATTGGATTTAATGGAGACAATGGTTACCGAAAATAATAATTTGAAACAAACCGTGTATTCGTTGTCGACATTGGTTTCAAACATGAGGTCTGATATAATTGTTATCTAAACTTAAATTTTATTGCATTTATTCTAACGTTAATATAAATTCATAATTATTTTAGTAATCAAAATATGGCCAAAGATTTGAAGCAAAAATTGTGTAAAATGTCGACAAAAAACAGTGAATTGAATGAAGAGTTGTCGGCGCCGTCGCCGAGATTGTGTCAAATGATAAAACGGCCGGACTTTGATGGCTATGGATTCCAAGTGCGCACAGAGAAGGCAAACTACGGTCACTACATCAGTAAAGTGGACGCCGACTCTCCGGCACAGTTGGCCGGACTCCGAGAGGGCGACCGTATTATTGAAGTGAATTGCGTTAACATTTCCAATGAAAATCTTCGACAAATGGGCGAAAGGATTAAATCGATTCCCAATGAAACCAAACTATTAGTGATCGACGAGACGACTAAACTCTCGTCGGAGACTCTCGTCAGTGAAGAGTCGGACCGAAAGTGTCGTGAATTGTGTGAAGAGATGTCGGCTCTGAAGGCAAGCAATGAGTCCGAAGTGAAGGCATTGAAAGCACAGCTCAAGTCATCAGAGGATTCAATGGAGACAATGACTGAAGAGATGGAAAGTTTGAGACAACAATTGATAACATCTGAGAAGAGGTTTTGTTATATTCGCGATACAAATGAGTTTTTATTAAAACTAATGTTTATTTGTTATACAAAATATTCATATCTTTCACAGTAATCAAGAAATGGGCGCAGATTTGAGTGAATGGTCGGATCAAACAAGTGAAGAGTTGTTGGCATTGAAGGCATCCAAACATATCATTGAATCGGAAGTCAATACTTCGGCTCAAGAACTCAATGCACAGAATATTAGGTTTGATTTTAATTACAATAAAAGTGAAAAATAAGTTATTTATAATTATTAAATTAAAAACCTTTTTAATAATTATATTGAAATAAAAACAGACATTCAGTGAGTGATTCGTCGTCCAGTTGTTCATCGATCGGATCCCACAATCAATTGACCACTAATTCAGACAAAACCAGAGATGAGATCAATAGTGGGGAAGACGAGACACAGATGGCTGAACACAAGTCACTCGGGAAGCGATACTCGGATCTCGTGGTCACTCACGAAGAATACGTATCGGCGCTCGAGTCGGTTCAGGAGGAGAGCCGCAGATATCGCCACTTTGCTATCATTGAGAAGAATGGACTCAAACAACAGTGCACTCAAGCCATCAAACAATGGGATAAAGCCCTCCGAGAGGTCAAAGAACTGAAGGAACAGCTGACCAGATGTAAGCGCCAGAGGGATGAGGCGCTCAAAGAGATCAATCAAGCGATGGCCGTACGGATCAAAGCGGCCAAAGAGATGACACGATTGGCCGAAGAGAATGAGAGGGCGTTAACAGCACTCGAAGGCATCAGACAATTGGCCGAAGACTCGGATGACAGCGAATCCGCGGCCAGTGTTGGCTCACACACTGAAAAGAAAACAATGATTTAGACTTAGATTTTGAATTAATGCAGAAATTGTTTGAAACTATTATTTTATTAATTTTTTGATTTAATTGTCTTATAACATGTCATAACATAAGTTGAGATTAGCATTATAATTGTCACCAAAATATCCATATAATGACTTACATACATTAAACATTACATTAAATTTTACATTAAACATTATGTATAATCAAATTTGTGATTTTTATATTCATTAACAATAGATGTGACAAAATTTTATAAACAAGTTTTTGTATTCACTATAAAGTCAGTCAAAAATTTGTTAATTAAATAACATTCAGATTGTTGTTTACATACATTGTATATTTATTATTCTAATTACGATTCATAATTGTTAAATACATGTTTTATTCATTATTAAAATTAAAAATTTTTATATTTTCATATGAACTTCCATATGATTATTGAGATTTCGTTTTGAAGTAAAACATTTGTTACAATCATTGAAAAGACAAACAAATGGCTTTTCTCCCGAATGCAAGCGTTTGTGTTGAATGAGATTAAATTTGAGTCCAAACGTTTTGCCACAATTTTCTTCATTACATTTGAATTGCTTTTTATTCAAATGAACACAACTTTTGTGTTGAAGTAAATATAATTTCTGTTTAAAACTTTTGTTGCATTTATTGAAATCACAAATAAATCTCACATTTAAATGAACGCTCTTTTTATGTTTGATTAAATGTGATTTCTGTTTATAACTTTTATTACAATTATTAAAATCACATTTAAATGACTTTACATTTGAATGAATTAATTGATGTTTATTAAAATGTTGTTTAGTTGTTGTCTTGTAATGACATTTAGGCCAAAAACAGTGAAAATATATTTGGTTTTTGTTTGAATGAACAAGATTTGTATGAAGTAATAATTGGTAGTTTGTTGTAAAACTTTTGTGGCATTCATTGAAATCACAAATAAAATTCACATTTTAACTGCAATACAAGTGTTGAGTCCATACAAACACAGAAGGGCTGAGAGTCTGGGAAACCGGACTTTCAAATGCATTGTGCGCTCAAAGGCTTTGAGTC